ATCAACAAATCCGAAACTGATATAAGATTCATCATACTTCCTTTTTTTCGTCTTTGAAACCGTCGAGCTTGACGTCGTGGCACTCGTGGCATCATCTTCTGGATCGGTGATTGCTAAATTCTCCGCGCGCATTGCTTTTGAACATTCAGCGTCATTAGAAGATGTTGTTGGAACACGTTTAACACCTTTAAGCCAACGTTCCATTCTTCTTTATTTATAATGTTACAAGTCAGGATAGTGGGGTTTAAATAATGCACAATCGTTACTGCGTATAAGAGACTAAATTTAGAACCTACAGGGAAGAAATGTATAAAACTGAGACAACAGAATACAGCAGGCAGTAAAACAATGAACACCAGTTTCTCGCTAGCGAGCTTGTAAGTAGGTAGTAACTTATCGCTCCGAACGCTAATCATCAACTGACGACGCCAACGCGCGATCGCCGCTTTTATACTTAGTCCTAGACTCGATCTCAAATATTCTCGAAAATACTCGAGTCGGCACCTTTGATAAACAAAAAGCAAAAATAAAAACAGAAATTTAAAAATAGCGTTGTAAACAATATCGACTTTATCCTTTGAAGTTAGAGACGAAAGTCGCTAGTTGACAACTATAGCGTCTAATTCAGAGGCGGCTTTTATCAAAGAGACTGAGCGCTTACAAGTATACTACCCGCTCGTTTTAAGTTTGCCGCTGGCGATAGGTATGAGTGTATGACGTTCGAAATTTTTTATTTAATTGTAACAATAAAAATTGTGTACGTTAGATATTTGGGTAAAACTATGACACATTATAAGTTTTGTTGTCACGTGGGGGAGGGTACGCGCATTCCACAGACCGGCAAACTTAGAGCGAACGCGTTGTACAAGTATAAAATTGTTGAGACCAAACTTATGAGATATTGTACCAGCTAATGTAACACAAGCTTATACAAATACAAATAAATAAATAAATAACATTCATAGCGTTTTGTCTCCGCGCGGCCGCGGAGTCCGCACAGCCGCGGAGCGACCAGAGAGAGGTGTTTTGATTTTTTTATTTCTAAATTCTTGCGGAACCCCGACAGAGGTATCACGGAACCCTAGGGTTCCGCGGAACACACTTAGAGTATAGCTGCTCTAGACTACCATTCCCACAATCAGTAAGAGCATAATCCATTTAGTTGATAATAGAATTTTACAGAGTGTACATAAAGGTGCCACTACAACAAAAACAATGGATAACTTAATTAAATAAAATAATATATAATAATAATACCAAACATGATTAGATTCGGTATGTTTGGTTTGTCCTTGATTCTTGTCCTTTTATCAGAGTTCGAACAGCGTTCATTTGTTTTTTTATGTACCTATTTGTTGTTTACTAAATTATGTTTTTATAAAAATTTTTGTTCGCTTAGTCGCGTGGCTTAAAGACTTGAAGATATTTGCCAGTACAGTATACATAATTATAGGACGTAAGGTAAAGTTAGTATGTTCGCTCTTCGAGAGCAGTTCGATAACAAACATTGCGAATGTGACACGAGATTTTTACGACTAGGTATATTTATTAACTTATTCATCAATGATAATAAATAATTATAATTAGGTAGCAATTATAATAATCAACATGGATTCCGAAAAGGTCGCTCAACCAATACAGACTTAGTAGCTTAAGTAGATGATATTTATGCAGAACTGGACGCTGGATAATAAGTCGATTTAAAGAAAGCTTTTGATCTGGTACATAATGATGTTCTATTGAAAATTTATATAGTTTTGCACCATAACTTTAGAGACCAAGGCGTTCACATTTTTAAAGGTAACTTTATTTAAATGAAAAAAATATTGCAATATTAAATTTGTTTTTGATGTTGCTATATAGATTATGGGGCAATTTTTGAAATAATATTTTATGGGGAGTTATTATAAAAATAATACAAAAATAGGATTAAATTCCGATAATAACTGTAGTTAAAAAATAATTCAATTGTCATATTTAAGATTAGATAAGATCAAAACTCTATATTGCATAACGCAGTAACAAAACAAGCAGATAACAAAAGAAGTAGAAAAATACAATAATGCACAAAGGGCAGTCTTATCGTTAATGAACGATTTCTTCCTGACAGCCCAAATGTATTAATTCACTTAAATTCCAAATATAATAAGTTTAAGCTGAATTCCAACCGGTTCAGCTTGGTTTTGGTGTCAAGGGTGGTTGTGAAGGAGCTGTGCATGCTCTTTGCACCTTCCTGTCGCTTGACGCAGCCGAGGTGGTGCTGAAGGTGGATGTCAAACGCCTTCAACTCCGTAGATTGAGGTGCCTCGCTTTCAGTAATTCAACAAAAAAATCCTACTATTTATAACTATCTTTGGCATTGCTATAGCAAACCTACTAAACTTCTATTGAAAAACTGGCCGCATATAGTTTTGCACAAAAACTTCTCCAGTTTTCTCCAGTTATCTTAGAAATTGTCATCAATTGTAAGAGTGGATGGATTTGAGTGAAGCGAGTATTACACGAGGACAGGAGTAAGTCAGGGTAGTAATCTGGGTCCGATGCTTTTCCTAATCATTATGAATGACTTGCCACTGTGAAATCTTCAAATTTTCAAAGATTATTTTAAATTGAGTCTAGGATTGTACATATTATAGCCGGTGCACAAAATCTGCAAAGGGATATTGTCTTTATATTTGATTGGAGTAAGGCTAACCATCTCCCATTGATGGAGTCCTATAAATGTAATTTATGATATATCTGACTTTCTTCTGTATAGAGTAACAGACATACGGCACGTGCAATTAATATTTTAGACACCAAATTGTATTTTCACAAACACATGACATCCTTCTGGAAATCGGCTAGTAAGGCATAGATTTTTCCATTAATTTTAATGATGAGTATGGTATTTACTTCGTTTGCCATGTTTAATGTTTTTTTGAAGTTATACTTCTTTAGGCGCGTTATGAAAAATTGATGAGAGTGAACTTTTAAGATGCGCGCGCATCACTGTAACACAAAATTTTAACAGCATGAAGTTGTTCGCTTTAGCGACCAACTTCACGCGTTACTTTTGTGTTTACCGCACATTAAGAAAATCTACCAACAAAATAGAAATAGAATCTTTATTTAGTGGGTGCTAACGACTGCATTGTGAAGGCCTATCAAAAGTATTTATTAATCTGGAACAACGGAACCCAAGCGCGATTCAGGAGACTACAGGGCCATCTCTTGACCATTGGTGTAGTAGAACCAAAAACCACATCTTTATTTTTTGTAATAAAGTAACAAAAAGTATTTATTAATCTGGAACAACGGAACCAAAGCGCGATTCAGGAGACTACAGCGCCATCTCTTGACCATTGGTGTAATAGAACCAAAAACCACATCTTTATTTTTTGTAATAAAGTAACAGTTATAGGTATTCGTATTTATAATATTTATCCACATGTTTCTAGTTTGTATATTCGGAATACGTGTTTGAGTTTTATACAAGTGCAAATCACATATGTTCTAATAAATTATATTCAGTAGCGATTTTAATTGAATATTTTGATAATTTATTTATTTTTTCAAATTAAAACTGAACTTTATTGACTGTGTCCTTTTCCAGACTTTTTATTAATTTATTGTAATTAATTATTTGCATGCAATTAAAAACTAATTTTAAACGATGCCAAAGAAGGATAACTTCTCACGCGCCTACATAAGTACACGCACCCATTTTTTTTATTTATTAAATGTGTGTGTTTTTATTTTCCTGCACTCATTCTACAAACAAACTTCAATATTGCATAACAAATGTTCTTGAAAGTGTTACTATTATTATACAATTTTTTTTTTAAATATATACAACACAAACCAATTAGCCTAGCCCCAAAGTAAGCACAATAAGGCTTGTGTTATGGGATACTAGGGTAACGGATAGAATACATATATAAGTATATTTATATAGAAATACATATTAAACATCCATGACTGGAGTACAAATGCTAGTGTTCATCACACAAACATCTGCCCCCACCGGGATTCAAACCCGGGACCTCTCGAGTCGGCGACGCCATGAAACCCGGCGTACAAACCATCCGGCCACGGAGGTCGTCGAAATGTGTACAAGATCTAATTTATAATTACATTAAATTAGTATTTCTATACATTTTTAATTTGTTAGATAATGAGTTTTTATGTTAAACAATAATTTGTACCTTTACCTTTGAAAAGTTTTCCCTAGTCTAAGGTCAGTTGTTAAAATAAAACGTCAGCATTATTTATTTTAATACGTAGAAATTTATTTATATCATTCATTGAAATATTCAATAGAATAATAGTTTTTAATACCTAATTTATCACAAAAAATTGTATAATAGAAATCGCTTTCATTCTCATTACATTAAGATCGTTAATTACTTGTCATCAAAATATGTCTACTTTAGTATAAGAAGAATATTGGTCTTTAATGGATGAATGAAAATGTATATTCGTAGTACAAAAGTGAAGGTTGCTTATATTTTGACCTTAAAACCTGTCACAAATACAATAAAAGTTGAAATAAAAACTCTGCCACCGGTTTAAGCCATTATTACCTCGTTTTGTTATATTAAACTTTTAGTAAAATTCTATGCCTGGCGCAAAAACATCGAAATATAAGTTTTCTTTAATACAAGCGAAGGATTAATCGGTATGCCAATGTTATCATCTCTTTTATTACTCATTTCCTTTGTCTATTGAAATATATTTTGATTTATGCAATATCAAGAGGTATTTGTAAATCTATTCACAAATTAAGATTTGATCGTTAGATAAATTTTAATTTGAGAGTAAATTAACAATAATAGGCTGTGGTGTTTATTTCTTAACCGCAAAAAATGACAAAGCGTGAAGTTATGCGTTACAATATCGGCTCTTGCATTCAACGACTTTCTCTTCGCAAATGCAATTTTTTATATGGATTCACAGACTAAGTGCAGACGCATCGCTAGAACTTTTGATAATACTTAATAAAAAATCCTTTCACTCACCACCCAAGGTCTGTCCGTCCAACACGGACGCCATAGCGCAAATAAAAAGAATAAATAAACTTTTTCTTCCCGCCATATTGTTTTAACACTTCACCAAAGACAAGCACAGACGTTAACAAACTTTTCGGTGTATACCAAATAAAGGAATTATCACAAACTTTTTCGTGCGAGTTTTAAAAGTAAAAAGAATTCCGGTAAAATAAGCTTTTTATGGAATTCGATTTTCGAATGCGTCGACGCGCGGCCGAGACATTGCCAACTGTGGTTATTTGACATTTGCTACACGTTTCACTGGGCAGCTATCTAGTACAGCAAGGGTATTTGGGGGTAATGCAAAATCTACTTTGCTACTTTAAACACACGGTCCAAAATATGTTTAACGAATGCCGAATGACCGGTTCAGTTATTCACATTGGCCGCTCGAGGAATATTGAATTTTAATTTGAGGGAATAAGGAGTAAACTTTTTTGTGTGATTTTAGAGACCAAGGCGTTCAGATTTTTAAAGATAACATTATTTAATAGAAAAAATATTTTGGAATTTTAGTGTATTGCGTAAATATAAATTTGTTTTAATATTGCTATATAAATTATGGGAAACATTTGAAATAATATTTTATGGGAAATTATTATAAAAATAATACAAAAATAGGTTTTAATTCCGATAATAACTGTAGTTGAAAAACTAATTCAATTGTCATATTTATTCACTTAAATTCCAAATATATTAAATTGAATATAAATTGTATGAAAAATAAATGGACAATTATTTAAAAGTCAAGAATATCTGCTGTTTTATTCTGCTTTTGCGTATTTACTGTGCTCAAAATGACCCGAACGAAGCTGTTGGTTAAAAAGAGCTCATTCTAATGGTACCGTCATAGTTGTTAATACATTGGCCATACTGAACTGAAAGTTGCTGGATCTGACCATCTACAATAAATACAAAAAAAAACAATTATGGAATTCGAAAATGGAAATGAGTTCCATTTTAAATTCCATGATTGTTTCCGATTCATATTTGTTCTTACTTTGGGCATACTGAACTGAAAGTTTCGGGATCAAATGAATGAAAAAACAGTTTATGGAATTGTAAGATAGAAATGAGTTCCATTTTTCAATTCCATAATTTGTTTTATTTTGACGACCACGGGGTTCAAGTGATTTTTATATGCATTTATAGATAAATATATTTATATATATATATCAATTGGGCTTGCCACCCGAACTGTAAAATAATGTCCTCTTTTTTATGTGGGCGTAGTTAGGTACTTTATAATCTACAACACCAATAAAGTACGCTAATATACTTTACTTACAATGAGCAACAAAAAAAAATAGTTGCTTCGGGACGGAAGTGTGTAACAAGAAGTTGCGAAAGCGCGCGCTATTTGATTTCATTTTAAAACATATAATAAACATATATGTTCAAATGGCTTATTCCTTTTGTAATAGGTTTTATTTCTTTTTTTACTAATATATGGTGAGGTTTCATATGTTACACATCATACGCGACTACTGTAAGGCTCGATTTATGTCAAATCAGGACAGTATTTTAAGATCAGTAGAGTTTCTCTTTGGGGAAGCAGCCTCTACTTTACAGAACACTACAGTGAAATAATACTGGCCTACGTTATTACCGATATACTGTTTCCACTATACCTACACGAACAAATAAAAATGGTGGATCGCTTCTTTGATGCACTAATCGCAAGCGGAATGCTTTACCCGCGTAGGTTTTCTCTCCTTCCTAAAAGGTCCTTAAAATGTTGTGAAGAAGCATTTCTGTAGCCCGGCACGGTTGGGATGGTTGGTGAGGCAGTTCATGACTGCTGCACCAGCTATCTTCACGTCTGAACTTTACCACCACTTAGCATCAGGTGGGGTAGAGTCATTTATTTATTTATATAGCCGTAAAAATACTACTGTTTGGTTGTATTGTGTTTCTGTCTCAGACCAAGGTCTCCCGTCGTAGATTTACGAACCGACGGCATATTTTTTCGACCTTCACATGTGCTTAGCGATAGCGTAGACTGAATAAATGATTTTGAATTTTGTCGGTGAGTAAGCTTCCAGGGTCCCACGGGGTAGGGCCACAAAATAGACGTAACGGAAGGTACTCTACATACAAAGTGCGCTCGAGCAACGCACACATAGAAACCACTCACGGACGCGATATCTCGAACCAGGTCAGACCACTGCAAGCGCGAGTTTCTACCGCTTGAGACACGAGTCTGTAAACATTTTTGCGCAAAAATGGAGCTACAAAAATCAATTCAATAAAAGATGTTCAGTAGACGGATTTTTGTTTTTTTTTTACATTAAAATAGGCTTACGCTTGACGGCGCCTGATGAAAGGCGACGTAGCAGCCTAAGGTGGGACGCGCTTGCCTAGAAGAAACCGCTTCACTCGCGACTTAAAGAGCCCCAGATTATAGGTGATTATCAACATATATGCTAGTCAGGTCATTAAACTTTACAAAACATAGATCCTTATGACAATAAACTTTATTCAAAATGACCTCCGTGATTTTGAATACAGGCCTTTAATCTGCGCGGCCAGTTGTCTATCGCAGCACGAACGAGGTCCATGTCAATATCAGCAGCTGCCTTAATCAAGGATGTTGAGTGACTCCAAATTGGGATGAGGCTTTGAGCACGGCTTTTCCTCCAAGTGTTGCCATATCTTGTAATCTAATGGACTCAAATCTGGACTGGAGCAGGGCCAGTCTTCGTGCCGGATGAAGTCGATTTCACGCGCCGTCAGCCAGTCTTGTGTGCTCTTCGCTCTATGAGCTGGCGCCAAATCTTGTTGGAATACCCAGTGCCTGTTATTGAACATGGTATGAGAATCAGGTTCCACAAGGTTCGTCAGGACTGTATTTTGATACACAACTCTCTCAACTCAGCATTCGTTTTTACATCTTTCTCACAAAAATGTACCTCTGTTAAGCCCCAATAAGAAACTCCCAACCATACCATGAGCGAGGATGGAAAATGACATCGTTAGATACGCGGAATACCGTTGCTCGCTTCTTCACTACTGTGTGCGTACATCTTATCATTTTGTTTGTTGTAGCTCTCTTCACAGACTTACTGAATATACATGAAAAAAAAAAAATCAAGAGAATCGGTCAAGCCGTTTCGGAGGAGTTTAGTTAACACTGTGACACGAGAATTCTATATATTATTAGCTGACCCAGCGAACTTCGTACCGCCACAAAAATAGGGGTTGGTGGTAGAAGGTTGAAAATTTAGGGTTGTATGGTTTTTAGGGTTCCGTACCTCAAAAGGAAAAACGGTACCCGTATAGGATCACTTTGTTGTCCGTCCGTCCGTCTGTCAAGACCGTTTTTCTCAGTAACACAAATAAAACTACATTTTCCATTTTACTTAATTTATATTTTTCACAAAAATTGCACGTTAACAAAATGATAAGAATAAATTATAATAAAACATAAATTACAAAAAAAATCGTTACATTATTTTTTTTACATAGGAGATCAAAGATCAGACAAGTTTCAAAGTTTGAACGCGAGGGAATGGCAAAGGAAACATAGGAGTGTAACTAAAACTTAGAAAGGTATAATATAATATAATTTAAAGTTTATACAGACAAAGCTCAGACTTATTTCTATGTATTCTATTATCGTTTGCATGGAAAAGTTGTTGGATCTTGTTCTTTGAGATTATGGAAAAAGACTTGATCCTAAAAGTACAAGGAAAAAAGGATCAAGTTTTTTTTGCAACAATGACATAATCATGACGATAGTTTATCATTATAAAAGTAACGGCCGTAACCAGAGGAGGCGTGTCGTCCTAATTGTCGACCGTACGATGCGATATCGATTAAAAATTTTCGTTATAATGCCAGACCGCCCATGAGCGAGAGACGAGCGCCCATGTTTTACTGGTGTGCATAGGCGTTGCAAGACAAAGGACTTCTCTAATGGGAAGCCCGAGGACACTAGAAAAGGCCTGCAGCAACATCCGGGGACTGCTGAGCTTTCTGGAGGAGCTGGGATGGCAGGACTGATGCCAATCCCCACGCAAATTAGGTACTGAGTGTCGAGTTGCGGAAATAGCCCGCCGTACTACTAACCGCGCCGGACCCAATATAGACCAATTTGGCGATGTGTCACCAAATCTGCGGACCAAACGTTCTTCATCCATTTAGCATTTTTGCCCCTCGCCTCGGTCGTCCCGTGCCCAATGGGTTGCTGAGTTGGCGCAATGACGCATGACTAGGTTTACCATTTAGGAATTTCAAATGCCTGACAAAAATCCTGATATTTCTAAAAAAGTCCGGACTTTTTAGACACAAAATGGTACCATTACTCACTTAGTTACAATGGTATGGTTTTGAAATCAATATGGACTTTATTATTCATATTCAATGTAATTTAAAAAATCCGGACAATTTAGAGGTCCAGACAAATTCTGGACATGTCCGGTCTAAAAAAAAGGATGGTGACCCTATGCATGACTAATTAGGACACTCAAAAGAAATCGGTATATTTTATTACAAGATTATATGATAAAACCCATCGCACGATCGCTATTAAAAAATGTTTGTACTCGTGCGACGGCTTACGTGCTGTAATTGGGCACTTCTGGAGGAATTTATGCATATGTGTTAAAATCATCGAATTTTGTTATCATACGATCATTGCCAATGAGGACGACCCCAGACGTCAAATAATTTTTGTCATTTAAAATCACGTTTTGTGTTGTCTTACTATATTGTCTAGCAAAGAAAGAGACAGCAATACTTCAATAAAACTCAAAGAAGAGTACGGCGGGCGGTGAATCATGTGATAGGTCTTAAATTTGTTGTTCCTCATGAACAGTGAATCATGGGGTCTGTGGAAGTTCTTAATACGAAAACAGTGACATATACCACACGAGTAGCTAAGGTTCAGGGGCAAAGCTTCATGCAGGGCACGTGTATGTGTCGCCACACACGGCCCACTGACCACAACCACAAAACGCCGCCACCGGCATATTTCTTGTAGCTTTCATACATGTTATATGGACTCGCCACACACGGTACGCCGGTGGCCGCCACACGCTACAAATCGTCGTTGCTCGCTTCTTGTGGCCCGCACCGGCCACTTAATGCGCCGATACAAAACGCCGCCACAAGTCACTCGCGCGATTCCCCACCCCTCTCTTCCTTGCCTTAGTCGGTCGCTGTCGCGCGCTTCAGCCACGTTAGTAGCCGCTTCTAGCTTCTCGTGGCGGCGTTTGTGGCTGTGGCATGTGGCCCGTGTGCGGCGAGAGTGTGAGTAAGCACTAGCGCTTGTTTTATAAAGCTTTGACTCTGCCACCTGACACCACCTCGTCGCGCGACGTCTACTCGTGGTCGACGACCGACCTCCGGTGGACGCTGCGTTGTCAATCAGCTATAAGTCGCGGCACGAAACTCTAGCGCTTACCATTAGTGCGCAAAAGTAAAAATTAAAATGTCTTGGGAAGAAAGGAGGTGTACGTGCCTTGCGCCGATTGGCTTTCCAGTCGTACCCATGCGCAGCTATCCCCTTTGCGTTTTGTTCAGCTCTAGAGTTACGTGCCGCGACCTGTAACTTCGGTTGGGCCACGGGTGGAAGCCGTCAATCAGAGAATGTCAGGTGGCTGACGGATGAACGCCGCGCCACCGCGTAGGTGTGTTATTTTCATACATCTAATATTGGTGTAGGCAATATTATCCAATAAGGAACAACATTTTCGCCGGATTCAATTATGCCATATAAACCTGTGTAATGGTTTATTCTAAAAAGGCTGTAGTTGTTCATAATAAATACAATAGAATTGACTCAGCATTGACAGAAAATTAAGTGGTTTATCGCACGAATTAAGAGATAGTCGCTAGATTAACTTTACAAACTATGGAACGGCTCTAATAGCTGTCGTGGTTGATGAAGAAGAAAATGTTATTCGTTGTCAACTCGTAGGCCACGCGTGGTCCACTCAGGAGCCGCACCTTTAGAGCCAGTGGCCAGCACACGGCAAGCGTGCGAGTGAGGCGATCCGGTGACGGTACGGAGTTCATGAAGTGAGCGTATAAGTACCCATAGGAATCCATACAAAGAATACCAACCGCACGAGGTTAGGCGGCGCTGGTTGGGTGCTGTATCCCGACGACGAAATCACCCGCGCCAACGCGCCTCCGATTCCTCCGACACAGGCCACAAACACCAACACAACACAGCTACTAGCTTAGGATTAGGCAGAAACCGTACCTGTAGGATAACAGTGCGAAGACCCGGTCTACACACGACAAGCTATACCAGGTACAGGTACGTACCTGGGCGTTTTGCCCCGCCCCCCAAGACAACGGCTTATTAGAGCCGAGGTCCCGGTCTCAGAGACGCCCTCTAGTTGAGCCGGGCCCTCAGGTTCGAGCGGTCTAGGGGCTCCAGACGGAGAGGAGACTCCCCCGGTGGGGAGATGCCGTCCGCCTGGAATACCTCTAGAGGCACTCGCCAATTCTGGGCTTGAGGTCCCCTTGGGATCGGGTTTGGCCCGATGACGCTGTAAAGGTCATCTGCGACCAACGGCAAACTAACACAAAAAAAAGGTCGGGTGCTGGGTGAGTTTAATGAGCTGTTACCTATATTCATGTAATCCTAGGCTTGACACAAACGGATGCCCTTGTATGCGTTCTTTAGAGGGGCTGCTTTGTGGTACAAAGGTCTAAAACCCATTATAGTTAATGACAGGTGCGATGACAGTTCGTATCCAGGAAGCGGTGACCTGTACGTTATGGTATATGCCGGGCTGGTGATCCACACCACACCCAAAGCCGGCAGAGGTGATGCCGACCAAGTAGTACCGACCGTTATCTAAAACTATGAGAGGTCCGCCAGAATCACCTGAAATAAGAAATAGCATTGATAAATAAATAATAATTCCAGCTCTCATTCACAATCACAACAATAGGGACGATGGCTAACTTGGATATTGAATGAAAAATTATAGAAATTGAATATTGGACACGTATTTTTTCTTTATTCACGTAATCAAAACATTATAGAGATTTAGGTATACTTAAATCTCTGTCGTCTGATTTGAAATGTCGTATGACGTCATAGAGTAAGAGCCCGTGGCCACCAGACTTTCGTGATTTTATAAAAGTAGAAAGTTTTACATAAACTTAACCCTCATAGACAAAATTCATGAAATAGCAACTTTTTTATTTTAAAAGGGTGGCACACAAGCTAATGGTCTGTCTGATAGTAAGCGTTCACCATAAACTATAGAATAATAGTAATAATACGCTTGCGATACAAAAACTATCACTCGCGCCGAAGGTACTCCTCGACCTCATCTCACACACACTGCGGAACGTTGAACTAACGTGACATGACGTCACATAACGTGACTAACGTCACACTTTATCGTGCGTGCAGCCGGTGTTCGTCGGTTTATAAGACGTGATCACGTCGACAAACATACCACTAGAGTCACGGAGATTCCCAAAAAAGCATTATGATGCGTCACAGTGGGCCTAAATCTATTTATTACCTAAACACGCGTCTTGGTGTCCATCCGAGTGTCCGGCGCATATCATTTCCGAGTGTATTTCCACTGAGATTTGCTTGCTCTGATGCCATTTGATACACTGTTCTCTACCTGTGAACAAGAAAATATAGTAAATTAAAATACTTGTCTATACTTTTACGTCTTTCAGAGTTTAAGGATAACTTGCGATTAGAGAAATAAAAAAGGTGATACCACTATACCATAGCAAATTCCTTATAGTGCTTACGTTGGGTTTATGCTAATTGGAGTGAGATTTAGAAATGTTTATTTATTTCTGTATTACTAATTTCTATCTTCTTATTTTGGTTGCGTTTAATGGCCAAGTGTACAGCGGTTAAAATTAATTTTCCACACAGGAAAATAAGCGGAAAATCCACGCGGTCAAGAAATTCAACGCGGTCATTAAAGTCTCGATGGTTAGTGCGTCTGCCCGGATAGTCATTATCAACATATCAATCCCCACTGCTGGGGCACAGGATTTCCCTATGGATGGAATAGGAGGATTGGTCCATGACCCACCACGCGAGCCCTGTGCGTATTAATGGGTGCTAACGACCGCCGATGCAGCCGGTACCAATGGCTAACGTGCCTTCCAAAGCAAGGAGGAGCTCGAGATAACAAGTTTTTGATCACACATCCAATGACCGACCATTGCGAATGCTGCTTGACTTCCACGGTCGCTGGCCGAACGCGCTTCATCATCAGCCTATTAATGTCCCCACTGCTGGGGCACAGGCCTTCCCTATGGATGAGATAGGGAGATTGGGCTATGACCCACCACGCGGGCCAGGCCCGATTGGCGGGTGCTAATGACTGCAGATGCAGCCGGGGCCAACGACTTAACGTGCCTTCCGAAGCACGGAGGAACTCGTGATAGAAGATTTTTGGTCACCCATCCAATGACCGACCACTGCGAAAGTTGCTTCAACTTCAACGATCGCTGCCGGACGCGCTAACCACCTGTGCCATCGAGCTTCTCAACGCACTCACCGCCTACAAAATATGATGAACTTAAATTATACTCACTCAATATCGGTACTGTGGCAGATCTCAGTAGATTGGTCCCCGTATGGCCGTTGCTAGCCTCAGTCTTGCCCCAGCCGGCGATCACACCCGACTTCCCTCTAAGCTCCATGTCGTAATCAGGCAAACATATTGGCAGTATGTGGCTCGTGTAGGTGATAGGTCGGGAGAGCTTCAACAAAGCTATGTCGTAACGATCAGGCTGAGTCATACGGAACTGGAATAGGGGATGCAGGATCTTCTGCACCACTCTGGAAGCAAAAACGTCAGTGGTTTAGGCAGATGTCCCACTGCCGGCGAGGAAGTGTCTCTCTCATGAAAGGTACAATAGATATACATTTCGTTTAAACAAAACAGATGCATATGATGACGCATCTGTTAAATTGCAGTACCAAATTCGTTTCTGAACGAACACCGATCTCTAGAGAGGTGGCCGTCTTGTCACGGATCGCAGTTTATGGTTGACGTGTGACAGAAGGCGCGCGCATGGCTACGTGCTCGGTGGACGTTATTTTAAACCAAGTATCATCTTTGTGATTGTAAACTATTTTGTAAAGCAGCAATTTGTTAAAACCATGGAGGTTAGAGAGAAGAAGAACGATCGTTACGTACAAAGCAATAGCCCGCCTGTCCCTGAAAATTTGTATAATTTATAGTTAACTAGTGGCCCGCCCTCGCTTCGCTTCGGGGTAGAATTGATCAAAATCCTTTCTTAACGGATGCCTATGTCATAACATCTACCCGCATGCCAAATTTCAGCACGATCCGTCCAGTGGTTTGGGCTGTGGGTTGATAGATCACTATGTCAGTCAGTCAGTCATCTTTGAGTTTTATATATATAGATTAGCTGTGCCCCGCGGTGTTACCCGCGGTTTATTAGGGATTTATTCCCGCAATAAAACGTAGCCTATGCGTTAATCCAGGGTGTCAAGTAACTTCATACCAAATTTTATTAAAATCGCTGTAGCCGTTTAGACGTGAAGAAGTAACAAACATACACACTCACAAACTTTCGCTCTTTACAATATTAGTGTGATTTATGACGACCTCCGTGGCCGAGTGGTTTATACGCCGGGTTTCATGGTGACGCCGACTCGGGAGGTCCTGGGTTCGAATCTCGGTGGGGGCAGATGTTTGTGTGATGAATACGATCATTTGTACTTCAGTCATGGATGTTTAATATGTATTTTTTATATAAATATAAATTAAAAATAATAAAATAAATTAATAATTAATTCTGTCCCTGAAAATTATTATATACCTTTGAGTTTTATCTTAATATATATAAATCTCGTGTCACAATGTTTGTCCTCAATGGACTCCTAAACCACTTAACCGATTATAATAAAATTCGCACACCATGTGCAGTTCGATCCAACTTGAGAGATAGGATAGTTTAAATCTCAAATTATAGTCGCTATATTAATTTATTGCAAATTATTACTTTTGGGCGGTACAAAGTTCGCCGACTCAGCTAGACTTTTTTTCCACTGTTTGGGTTAAAATTTTTGAAGCAGTATTTATTGCCTGATTTTTCTGTTTTCGAGGTTGTAGACTCTGACTCCGATTCTAACTCATAGTTAGAATTTAATTTCGACCATGGCACACAAAAAATCCACGCGGCCTAACCAGTAATTAGCCAATATATGGTGTATGTTTTAAAGATTTATTTTGTGTTAGAAAAAAACATTTTTTACTAATAAAATGTATCATCATCATCAGCCTATTAATGTCCCCACTGCTGGGGCAGTCAGCCACAGGCCTTCCCTATGGATGGAATAGGGAGATTGGGCCATGACCCACCACGCGGGCCCAGTGCGGATTGGCGGGTGCTAACGACTGCAGATGCAGCCGGCCGGGACCAGCGGCTTAACGTGCCTTCCAAGCACGGAGGAGCTCGAGATAGTAAATTTTTGGTCACCCATCCAATGACCGACCACTGCGAAAATTGCTTAACTTCAACGATCGCAGCCGAACGCGCCAACCCCTTGCGCCATTGAGCTCCTCAATAAAAAAAATAAGTATCCTGCGTCTTAATCCAGATCATAAACTATATGCGTACTAAATTTCATCCAAATCCATGTAGTACTTTTTACGTGATTGAGTAACAAACATAGAAAGTTTCACATTTATACTATTTATAGTAGGAAAGTAGGACTAAAACTTAGGAAAAATTATAGTTTAAACTTTCGTTAAGTTTCCAAAACACCAGCGTTTCGCGAACGGGTTATTCAAATGAAATTTCATTTTATAAATATAACTAGCGGGCCGCCCTCGCTTCGCTTCGGTGTAGAGCTGAAGTGTAGACTAGAGTTTTTGTTCTCAGGCTTGTATTATACACAATGACATTCATCTATGATTCTTCTTATACCTGCATGCAAAATCTGATCCCGATCGGTTTAAAATTGACAAAGTTTCATACAAACTTTCATTCCCTATTTTGTCCCCTTGGGGTAGAATTGATCTAAATCCTTTCTTAGCGAATGCCTACGTCATAACATCTACCTGCATGCCAAATTTCAGCCCGATCCATCCAGTGGTTTGGGCTGTGCGTTGATAGATCACTATGTCAGTCAGTCAGTCATCTTTGAGTTTTATATATATAGATTAGCTGTGCCCCGCGGTGTTACCCGCGGTTTATTAGGGATTTATTCCCGCAATAAAACGTAGCCTATGCGTTAATCCAGGGTGTCAAGTAACTTCATACCAAATTTTATTAAAATCGCTGTAGCCGTTTAGACGTGAAGAAGTAACAAACATACACACTCACAAACTTTCGCTCTTTACAATATTAGTGTGATTTATGACGACCTCCGTGGCCGAGTGGTTTATACGCCGGGTTTGATGGTGACGCCGACTCGGGAGGTCCTGGGTTCGAATCTCGGTGGGGGCAGATGTTTGTGTGATGAATACGATCATTTGTACTTCAGTCATGGATGTTTAATATGTATTTTTTATATAAATATAAATTAAAAATAATAAAATAAATTAATAATTAATTCTGTCCCTGAAAATTTGTATAATTTATAGTTAACTAGTGGCCCGCCCTCGCTTCGCTTCGGGGTAGAATTGATCAAAATCCTTTTTTAACGGATGCCTATGTCATAACATCTACCCGCATGCCAAATTTCAGCACGATCCGTCCAGTGGTTTGGGCTGTGGGTTGATAGATCACTATGTCAGTCAGTCACCTTTGAGTTTTATATATATATAAGACAGTGGAGCAAGTTCTCGCCGCCAGTGTGAACAGTCAGTGAAATATATATATATATACTAGTGGCCCGCCCTCGCTTCGCTTCGGTGTAGAGCTGTAGTGTAGACTATAGTTTTTGTTCTCAGGCTTGTATTATACAAAATGACATTCTTCTAATACCTAATTTTAATAGGCACGCGCCGCCAGGTCCCCCGCCCGGTAGCGTCGGAATCGCTCATTTTTAATGTGTAAAATACTGTAGTACGTTATTTTGATCTATCTCGAAGGGTTCAGCCAGCGTTTGCAACGTAAGCGCAAAAAAATGTGTTTATATACAACCTTACATTAAAAACCTCTAAAATTATCAGTGTTTCTCTACTATTTTATGCATGTATTATACATATAAACATTCCTCTTGAATCACTCTATCTATTAAAAAAAAACCGCATCAATATCCGCATAAAGATCTAAGCATACGTAGGGACATAGGGACAGACAGCGGGAAGCGACTTTGCTTTATACTATGTAGTAATTTAATAGGTACAGAAACTGAGCGCAGTTATTACATGGTTAAAAACATAAACCTGGTAAAAATTGACTGACGTTTCATGTCAAGTCACACGGGAACGCTGTCGAACGGGATAAAAAGTATCTTATGTCCGTCTCCTGGCTCTAAGCTACCTCCCTACCAACTTTCACCCAAATCTGTTCTGCCGTTCTTGAGTTATAAGTGGTGTAACTAACACGACTTTCTTTTATATATATAGATATATATGAGCTGAACAGTCAGTGAAATATATATATATATATATATATATAGTTCACACTGGCGGCGAGAACTTGCTCCACTGTCTTATCGCAGAGTGACAAGAGCTGTCAAAGATAAAACTTACTCAGCGATACTCGCTTGGCCGTCAAAATGCGTGCGTGTGCATTTTTGCTTAGGACTATTACCGCGAGCGAGTGGCGCTTGTTTTCTGCCATTCTACTATCATAGTCACATCGGAACTACACACTCGCTTCCTGATGCTCGCGAAACTCGTGTCTAGTTCTTAGCTTCTCGTTCATTGGTTTTTGGCAGTGAGATGAGTGCCTCAATGTGCCTTAAAGTAGATCTGATTTGTAAACCATTAATTTTGCAGTAGTATATCGTATCTGAAGTAGTCGCCACGTATCATAGTATTTCTCAGTTAGAATAAAAGCATTATATTTTTACTATAATACCAACCGAACCTAGTTTCCGTGCGGTGTGTCCAGCACGCCCAGCCACACGGATGTTGGACATTGATACATGACTGAATATGACTATAGCACAATTCCCCCTAGTTTCTTGGTAGTGTCTGCCCCAGCGCTGGTGTCAGCACCCCCAGCCACACCGATGTTGGACATTGATACATGACTTAATATGACTATAGCACAATTCACCCTAGTTTCCTGGCGAAGTCTGCCCCAGCGCTGGTGTCTAGCGCGTTCAGTCACACAGAGATTGTGTCGCCACGTAGCAACGGGACATTAATACACCATTAAACATAGCCAGTATGCTTATAGTAATGACTAATAACGTCTATACCAACCTTCTCCTACCTACAACTCATTTTAATTTCCTGGCGGTGTTTGCACCAGCTGTAATGTCTGAGTTACAATAGCATAACTCACCCTAGTTTCCTGGCGGTGTCTGCCCTAGCGCTGGTGTCCAGCGCGCCCAGCAACACGGATATAGGCCATTGATGCATGACTGAATATGACTATAGCACAATTCCCCCTAGTTTCTTGGTAGTGTCTGCCCCAGCGCTGGTGTCAGCGCCCCCAGCCACACGGATGTTGGACATAGATACATGGCTTAATATGACTATAGCACAATTCACCCTAGTTTCCCGGTGGTGTCTGCCCCAGCGCTGGTATCAAGCGCGTTCAGACACACAGAAATATTGTCTCCACGTAGCAACGGGACATTAACATACCATTAAACTTAGCCAATATGCTTATAGTAATGACGTCTATACCAACCTTCTCCTACCTACAACTCATTCTAATTTCCTGGCGGTGTTTGCACCAGCTGTAATGTCTGAGTTACAATAGCATAACTCACCCTAGTTTCCTGGCGGTGTCTGCCCTAGCGCTGGTATCCAGCGCGCCCAGCCAAACGGATGTTGGACATTGATACATGACCGAATATGACTATAGCACAATTCACCCTAGTTTCCTGGCGGTGTCTGCCCCAGCGGTGGTATCAAGCGCCCCCAGCCACACGGATATGTCGCGGGGGCGAGCGCGCGACACGCAGTGCGCCGCCGTCGCTACGTACCAACGGGATACTGAAATTAAATGAAAATAAACTTTTTTTTCTTTCTTTTTCCTTTGCTTTGCACGACTTGTGCGTTTAGCCACAGTCAATAACAAAAATTAGGGAAACGGAAGGATTTTAAAGCAAATTGATAAGGAATACTAAAGAGAAAGGATCAGGGAAGAACGAAGAATGTAATTTACATAGAATAACCAAGAATAAAATATTATACAAAATTTGCAAATAATTAAATCTAAATATCTAGGTAGGTACAACTTTATAGTTTTATATAATTTAAAAGAAGGAAGGAAACAATGTACTTATATACATACATCTGTGTCATTTAATACTAGAAGTAGGGATAAAATTGTGGGAAATGGAATATGTAGCGAGATCAGGCTATTGAAAAAGAGGGTTCTATGGAAATGAGGACAGGAGAAGATGTGGTTTAAATTCCCCTCCCCACACTCGCAAATAAGACTATTAAGTAAAAATAAACTTTATTCAAGTTAACTTATAAAAAGCTCTTTCGAATCGTCCTTATAATATTTTTCCTACCACCTGTTCAGGACAACTATTAGCTGACAAGAAGAACCGGAGAAAGATACTTCACAGCTTTTTATGAAGTAGCGACATTTAAATGAAAATTTAAAACTTTGTACTAATGGTCAAACAGGAGATACATATTAAGCTCGACACCTACGCGAAACGTACGAAAATCCACCCAAACAAACTCGTCAGTAACCTGATGGATAAAAATCTTTTCAACAGACTAAAGAGAATGGTTTAGTTTTGGAATGTGCTAAAATATGCCTTCACTATATGCTTGAATCTTACCCAATACTCCTCCACATTGGAATTCTGAAATTCTGACGTGCGCTTGCCAGGGAAACTCTGCGAACCTCGCTTCCCTGCCACCGATTATTCTCTTCTGAAGTATTCTGGTCGACGGCAGGCCGCAATCTACCTGAAAATAAAGTGTTAAACTTTTTTAAGAAGACCTATCGAAGTATTTCCACTTTGTGTGAGCCCAATTACGACTTTTTATATAGCTAGGTAGGCAAATGTCCCTTCGCCTTCTTGATGTTAAGTGGTGATAAAGTCCAGATGGCAAGATAGCAGTGCAGCAGTTATAAACTGCCACACCAACCATCCTCACCTTGACGGCCTGCAGTAATGATTCTTCACGCCTCTCTTAAAGGAACCCAGATCGTAGGAACGGCGGAACACGTGTGCGGGCATAAAATTCCACTAGCGAATAGTACGACAAAAAAATCCGCCACCAAATTTCTTTTTTTATGTGTAGGAAAAGGAATAGACGACTCTGCTTTATGATGTCTTTTGTGAAATTCTAATTCTAAAATATCACTCAGGCGATTATCTTTTGTTTCTACATATTCTCTCTTACGGCGGCTGTACATGGACTGCTCGAGCAGTTAACGCCTGAGCGACGTACACGGACCGCTCGAGCGGTCGGCGTAGCTCGAGCAGTGGGCTGTTCGCTGCTCGAGCTGTCGATACCAACCGCTCGAGCAGTTGACTTTCTACTGTAGCCGAGTCATGAATCCTGACGAGGAAGCCACTGCGTTTGCTGCTTCTGCTTAAGCGGAGACGACGGCGGTGACGTCTTAAGAGAAAATTTTGGGTTCATCCAATTTTGGAATTAAGAGACCAAGATGGACAATTCCATCATTTGTTTATGGAACTTAGAAATGATGAAGAAAATTATTTCAAGTATTTTAGGATGTCAGTGTCTTCGTTTGATGAATTCAATAATATAGTTAAGTCTAAAATTAAACGTGTAGACACAATTATGACTATTTTAGCGCAGTCAACGGCTCGAGCAGTCCGTGTATGCCACGCGACCGCTCGCGAGCGGTCGACGGCACGATGTAATGTCATCGTGTAGTGGAAAGGCTTGAATCGGCCGCGACTGCTCGAGCAGTCGTGTGTACGGCAGCGAATAAATGACTATAGTTCACCGCGCGGTCGCAGCTTCAAGCAGTCGGTCTCAACTGCTTGAAGCAGTTCGTGTTCGGCTGGCCTTGTAATCCACTCTCTTATATCATATTATTCTGGGCCATCTGGGCGATTGTTTGTTCAGAACTATTGAGATTTGAGATGCCCTTGCTAAGCCTGGGAAATGTGGTAACGGCCAAAGGTGCTCGATGGCGCGGGTGGTTTATCTCGTTTGGCTGCGATCGTTAGAGTTAAGCAGAGGTCGGTCATTGGATGGGTAATAAAATCTTCTATCTTGAGTTCCTCCATGCTTCGGAAGGCACGTTAAGCCGTTGGTCCTGGCTGCATGTGTTAGCACCCGCCAATCCACACTGGGCCCGCGTGGTGGGTCATGACCCAATCTCCCTATTCCATCCATAGTGAAGGCCTGAGCTCCAGCAGTGGGGACATTAATAGGCTGATGATGAAGATGATTGCAAAGCCTAATTGAGAGTGCTACCTTTGTTTGATGGTTGACCAAAAACAAATTATCACGGGCGCTTCCGTGCTTTGAAAGGCGAGTTAAGACATCGGTTTTGACTGAATTTTCAGTCATTAGTACCGACCTATCCACACAAGGCCCGTGTGGTGGGTCACGTCTCAGTTTCCCTGTTCCATCGATAGGTAAGGCCTGTGATCCAGCAGTGGGGATATTAATAGGCTGATGATGATGATGATGGATTCTTACTTGAGTGGTGTCATCGTCCACCCTCCGTCGAAACATGTTGGTTGGTACGACGCTGCGTTGCGGTATCTGCCGTAACTTTGGAGGCACCACCTTGGAGTACTTCCATTCCGAAGACGGGATACTGAGAAACATAAATAAATTACTGAAGTAAAGAATATTAATACGCCTAACGTTTGTACACGCGTAACTTGGATTGGAGATGGAGATTGTACTAAGTTGGATAATAGGCTATTTGTCAAGTTTTTGAAAACGTTTTGATATTTATATTTCTGTTGCGTATACCTGCATATCTTAATATATATAAATCTCGTGTCACAATGTTTGTCCTCAATGGACTCCTAAACCACTTAACCGATTATAATAAAATTCGCACACCATGTGCAGTTTGATCCAACTTGAGAGATAGGATAGTTTAAATCTCAAATTATAGTCGCAATTTTAATTTATTGCAAATTATTACTTTTGGGCGGTACGAAGTTCGCCGAGTCAGCTAGTTATTATATAAAAATCAATTGCTGTTTGTAAGTCTCGCTAAAACTCGAGATCGGCTGAACGTATTTATCTTATCTTGGGGATGAATAAATATAAAAGGTGAGAGAATATAGAAAAATTGCGAGGAAGATAGTAAAAACGTCAATTTAATTTTGCCATATAAACTGTTCTATCTTCTTTCCTGTCAAACATATGACGTTCGTCCCTTTTGGTACGATAGATTCGGGTCCGTCATTTCTTCCAAATTATATTAATACGATTTAAAAGACGACGACGAAGTACGCGGGGTCAACTAGTAAAACATAAAAATGAAAATTAGGTTTTCAAATATGCAATGTATATGGAAACGTTTCTTTAGTAAATATAGGGTGTTACAGGCAGGTGACGTACACGGCTCTCAGTAAAACGTTGAACAGTACAAAGAAATGCCACTTCAACAACATGTTTAAAAGCAGGTAGGCATTTCCACGCGACAATAGGTCATAATTACTTTTCTGTTTTATGATTGTTAGTGATATTATTGTGGGAATGGAACAGAGCAATGTGGTAAGTGCGTTCGGCTGCGATCGTTGAAGTTAAGCAACTTCCGCAGTGGTCGGTCATTGGATGGATGACCAAAAATTTACTATCTCGAGCGCCTCCGTGCTTTGGAAGGCACGTTAAGCCGTTGGTACCGGCTGCATCTGCAGTCGTTAGCACCTACCAATCCGCACTGGGCTCGCGTGGTGGGCCAAGGCCCAATCTCCCTATTCCATCCATAGGGAAGGCCTGTGCCCCAGCAGTGGGGACATTAATAGGCTGATGATGATGATGATGATGATGATGAAAATGAATATTTCCAACACTCACACCAATTAGTCTACCCCCAAAAGAAGCACTGTAATGCTTGTGTTGTGGGATACTAGGTAACGAATAGAATACATATACAGTACATATATTAGTATATTTATATAGAAATACGTATTAAACATCCATGACTGGAGTTCAAATGCTCTTATTCATCACACAAACATCTGCCCCCATCGGGAATCGAACCCGGGACCTCTCGAGACGGCGACACCATGCGTACAAACCACTCGGCCACGGAGGTCGTCAAAATAAATAAATATGGCCAAAACTCGTATGCTGTCACTTTTGTTTGCTAAAAAGAGGACGGAGACAACATTAGGTTTAAACCAAGACTAACTTCAGTTCGCGATTTGGAAAAAGGTGGATAAAAAAATGTCGCTAAAGTCATAGTCCGCATATCTGTAAAACGTACCTATTTTCGAAACTATCACTCCTTTCTGGCTCCTTAGGGACGCAGCATGAGAACAACCAGCCTCCACAACCTCTGGCCCGGATGCCTCCCTTCAACCAACACTCCAGGGTCAAGGTGCACGGCCTGACGTCACCGTTGTAGGAACACGTGGCTGGATACCCCAATATGTTAGCCAGCACTCGACTGGTGAATGCTGGGAAAAGAAGATTGGTATTTCAGAATTTATAAGGCGAACTATAAACCCAAGCTCCGTAAAGTGTCGTAATCGACAATTTTTATATGAAAAAAGCCAGTTTGTTCTTACGTCCGATACCCCTATCTTATCTGCTTAGTTTTCATAGAAACATTACAACCGAACTTTATACGAACTTAATGTAGATCTTCAGGGGGTGAACGAATGATGGCTTCAGTCCAGCCGAGTGATGCACGACACTCACTTTTTCTTTTTTTGGAATGCTGTTGATGTCAGATGAGCTTTACAACATTATGGGGCTTGGGGAGGTGAGATTCTTAGGGGACCTCAAGCCAGGATTGGAGGACCTCAGGCGATGTGGCGAGTGGATCTAGGGGTTTTTTAGGCAGAAGGAATCCCTCCACGGGGTGAGACTCCGCCTAGCCACAGAGTCACCACAGCTACTACTTGAGAATAGGGGCATCGGCACAACTAGAGGGTGTCTCTGAGTCTCGAATCTCGATTCTAGCTGGCCGTTATTATAAGTGGTCCATTGAACGAGCTTAATCCATACTAATATTATAAATGCGCAAGTGTCTGTCTGTTACCTCTTCACGCTTAAACCGCTGAACCGATTTAGAGGATATTTGATATAGAGATGGTTAGAGGCCCTGGGAAGCAAAAAGGATAGTTTTTATTCCTGAATTAATTCTTTAAGGGGATGAAAAGGTGGGTTCAAGTTTGTATGGAAAACCAATTTTTCTACGCAGATAAAGTCGCGAGCGCAAACTATTCATCTATAAAATTCTCTTAAAAAAACTACCACTTACATTCCACAGCATCCGCTTGTCTCGTAACATTGAGAATCATCAATGGTATCAGCACTCTTGAGATCCGCCATCTTGCCTCCCGCCATTTTGGTGCCACCCGCCATTTTGTAACGAACTCTTTGCTCACGCAGTTTCTGCGTTTCTTCGGCCCTCTAACTGTGTTCTTGTGGTCTATGCTCTGCCTGTGATGTCTGGTCGTCCATTTTGATGTTGTGCTACCATCATTCACCGATGACATGTCGCTAATGGGACGTAGTATTGTTCTGACATATCGCGTGTTTGGGATGCGCTCTGTAGATTTGAATGATGATTTACTGAAAAAGAATAATAGTCGGATGAATATAAGTTTGCGACCGCGCACATCGGTGGTGCAGTGCGGAATATTTTAGACTCTTCCCTGCTTATTACTAGTCACATATAATCTGTACTAATTAACCTTTGTCCTTCCCCAATGTCTTTTGCCTCAATATTAAAACTAAGCAAAAATCAATTCAGCAACTAAGGCGTGAAATCGTAACAGATACAAAGAGAGATTTTCGTATGTGTGATAAAGATATACTGTATTCTTGAGAGCCAAAAAATTTTTCAGAAACGGTTTCTTATGAAGTTTTTTTTAACTTTTTTTTATATAATTACATTGTGTTTTAATTTGGTATCTTATTCCTCCTATGACGTCTCATCTTAGTCATTAATTTTCCCCACTCAACCTATTTATGATCCGCACTCAACCCACAATAATTATGTTGTGGCATTGGATATCTACTTACACTGCGACCGAAGAAGGTGTTAGACAACGCTCTATAAAGTTTCATTTAGAAGTCTGTCGGATTCGAACGAAACCTATAAAGAGTAGAAAATGGACTGGCTAAATACATATTGTACACTTCGGAAAGATACTTCTATAGTGAAAAATGCTTCTCCCACTCATGCGCGACGAAGTTTCGTGTGTCTTTGGTCCCAAATGCAAAAAAAAATAAAATAACACAAGCATTCGAAATTTGAATTAGCTCTGTAGTAATGAATTAGCGGGCTGCGTGTTTATAGACGCTAGACGATTGCTTGACTGGTATCACCTGTTTTTGGAGACACGCTAAAAGAAGTTATCGGATACCATTAATTTGTATGTGCAGCTGAAGAAGTGTACTTAATTCAAAGTTCAAACGCTAATTTTGGCGCATTTTAGGTAATACCAAAGTCACTAAAGGTGAGGAGCTCGATGGCGCAAGTGGTTAGCGCGTTCGGCTGCGATCAACGCAACTTTCGCAGTGGTCGGTCATTGGATGGGTGACCAAAAATTTATTATCTCGAGTTCCTCTGTGCTTCGGAAGGCACGTTAAGCCGTTGGTCCCGACTGCATCTGCAGTCGTTTAGCACCCGCCAATCCGCACTGGGCCCGCGTGGTGGGTCATGGCCCAATCTCCCTATTCCATCCATAGAGAAGGCCTGCGCCTCAGCAGTGGGGACATTTTTTTTTAATTTTTTTTAAATATTTCTGACACACACCAATTAGCCTAGCCCCAAAGTAAGCACTATAAGGCTTGTGTTATGGGATGCTAGGGTAACGGATAGAATACATATTCTGTACATATATAAGTATATTTATATAAATACATATTAAACATCCATGACTGGAGTACAAATGCTCGTATTCATCACACAAACATCTGCCCCCACCGGGTGTAACAATTTTTGTTATCACCGGCTATTTCAGGGCTTACATGAGACTCGAAACTTATTTAATTTATAATCAGGGCGCCGTAATACTGTGATTTGAGGGAGATAAATGAAAATGTCTAAAACCGCAGTGAACAAGGTATTATATTGTCAAAAAAGATTCAGATCTTATTTCATCATGGTTAAAACTTAATACTAGTCACATTCAACTTAATAAATACATAGCTATATTTCCTCAAGGATTTTTCTTTTGATTTAAAGATAGTCATACATTCAAGATCATGTGCTAATAGAGTAATACTCAATTTAAGTTTCTTATATAAACAAATTATTAAACAAGTTATAAAATATTAAGTTTTGGAAATTTAACAATAAAAATTTGTTATGTTCTTATAATGGCTTTATAGTTTACCAATACAAATCCTTTATCACGTTAAACAGAAATTATTCTCCGGAGTATGCACTGGTTAAATATCAAGAAGTTATAAGTTTTACTTAGCTTGGCAAGATCATGGGAGCATCAGGATGACTCAAATGTCCTCAGGGATGAAGCAGGACTTGCTGTCATCACGTGAACCCGTCACTTTTTGCTCAAGAAAGCTTCACAGGCTCATATATATATATTTCCAAGGAGATTCCAATCAGGATCAAGTAATTGTGATTATTACTGTTATTAATTAGCCAAATTAATGGACCTAGAACCAATTACACAATTTTCTATAATTCAATAAAAAAACTAACTGGACCTACAGCCTAACGAATCAAATGTATTGAACTTACCCGTTAATCCGGGGAGAAATATCAAGTATATAATGCACTGACTACCACTGCTAGTCTTAATGCTATTTTCTAAGTATGGTCTTCAAGGTTCTATCAGCCAAAAGAGACCGAATTTGGCTGTGCACTGCTATTTATAGGCTACTACAACACGTGACAGCGTCATTGCAAATTTCTCTCATATCACCATATTTGGTGTGAGGAATCAAACGGACCGGTTTTGCTGACTCCGCCTCTCAATGTTTCCAGAACATTAATGTGACGTCACATCCAATTTTGCATCTCATTTAAAAAATTTACACACTAGCTCCCTCTAACTTACATTCCAAATGCAACTACTAGGTTCACACATATATTGTACTTGTCCGTTGCTTTTCAAAGTGGACTTCGATATTGAATAATTTATATGCATGATGATAGATGGCGCTGAATAAATAATAATATTTCTACGACTTAATATTTAAGAATTATATTGCTATGTTTTAACGTTATTAAATTTAATTGCTACACAACATCCCCCTTATCTCAAAAAATTTTTCCCAAAAAAATTTTTTTTTTTTTTTTTTTTTAATTAATTAACCTGCAACTGACTTACAGACAAATCAACAATACTAAGTATTAGCCAAGATAAAAAAATTTAAACTTATATACGTGAGTATCCATTTATTTACTCCACGTAATGTTCTAAACTCTAAGTCAATAGCAACAATTAAATATTTGCTGTTTAATGATTTTTCTTTTAGTTTCATGTAAATACCTTTCTTGGATCTATTATCCAGTGGTATAACATGACTTTTCTGTTCATCTTATGAACTTAAGGTAGTTAAGAAAACAACTCAAGATTAAAGATGTTTGTATGTTTTCAAACTCAAAAGATTAAGATTATTTTCCAACAATCTTCCTATCTTTAATTATCAAGTCTAAAGTATATGTCCACTTCCTTATGCTTATGCCTTTCTTACATCAAGTCTTATTTTTCTATTTAGTATTAAAATAAATTGCACGTGCTTATTTTGTAAAACACTTTTCATACTTCACGCATTACATACTACTTTCATACCCATATGCATATCAGTGAACACAACTTTACGAAAATATTTTACTATAAAAAATTTTTTTTTTGTATTAAAATATTAAAATGCATCGAAATATTATTTAAGTGTTCTTTTAAAAGTGAGAATTTAAGTTAAAAGGGTTGTCAATAAATATTTATTTAGTTAAAAGTTAAAAAAAGATTTTAATTTTCTGGCAGGTTTCGAACCGTAGCCCACAGATTTCCATATACATGTTTCCCACACTTGAAGTCTCCTTAGCCAAGCGGATAATACTGTAAGTGACTAAAATACGTATCTTATAAGGGATTCAAAGGTTTGTTAATTTTTTAAGTTTGTTGTTAATAATATTATCAAAATGTTTAAGCTATCAGCTATACCATCTTTAAGAAGTTAATTATTAAAACATTTGCCATCAAGATTGGACAAAGTATCAACTGGTGGTGACAATTAAATGGTTACCATCCATTTGATAAATATTTATTCCTTTTGTGAGAAACAATTAAATATTTTCTCATCTTTTGGAAAAATATCATTAAGTTTCAATAATTTTGATTCCTCTTGTGAGCAGCAATTAAGTGTCTCCTCACGTTTTGGAAGAAATTATTTTCAAGTTTAAACTTTTTATTCCTTGGGCGGGGAACAATTAAATATTTCCTCACCGTTCGGAAAAATCGTCAAGTTTAAATTATAGGTTTATCATTCCTTGGGTAAGCAGCGATTAACTGTCTCCTCACCTCTCGGGAAATGATTATGAAGTCAAATTAGCTACAGCTATGCCTGTTGCTGACCGTATAGGGTGCAACACAACATAATTTCTGAAGTAATATTACGTAATGATTAGATACGTCTACTTATTTCAAGAGTGTGGAAAAGGTTCAAATAAATCTCAACTACTAGTTATTACGTCATGATTAAATACGTCTACTTATTTCAAGAGTGTGGAAAAGGTTCAAATAAATCTCAACTACTAGTTCAAGGGGTTTTAGACATGGGCTTGCCTTATTGACATGTTAATATTTTTTCTAACAAATTACACATATGTATATACCAACCATCCTTCCTTCCTTTGGTGAGAAACGATTAAAATTTTCTCACCTTGTGGAAAATATCAGTAAGTTCCTGTAACTTTCTGCAAGTAAAAAAATTACAAGTACCTTACCAATATCACGGAAGCAGGTACATAAATATATTGTAACCTGGGAAAGTAATTGGAGGTATCAAAAAATGTTAAGGTTAAGCACAACACTAAAAGGTTCCATTGGAAATTAACGTTATGTATCAAGATTAATTTTTAAGTATTTATCAAAAAAAATAATAATTAATAATTAACGACATACTTAATAGTGTCTCATTATATGTATTTAAATAAAAGTCAAGGTACTTTGTGAACACTAAACTAAACAGAGATAATTAAATAATCAATGACATAATTAATTTATGAATTGCATATTTTAAACATTTAAGTATTAAAAAAATTTACTTTAATAGAGAACTAATCGTCATAATTTGGTTTATATATCTATTTCTAAATCAGGAATATCAAAGTCTTCTCTCAAGTTAATTAATAGGTCAGAATATGAGTTAAAATTATCTTTATTACTTCTGTACCAAATTAAAGCAGAGTCCTCTAACAGATCGGAAAATGCCGTTAGCATACGAGATTGCGGAATCTCGCGGGCGTGTCTAATTTCTTCCAATCTTTCTATAAAATTTCTAACGCAAGTAGAACCATCATATTTTAAGTTAAATGAGTTTAAATTAATGCGTCTATCTTTAATTAAGTACACCTTCCTCCTTTCGTTCATCTC